CAAGTGCTGGGATTACAGGCGTGAGCCACCATGCCCCACTTGTTTTTGTTTTTTAGAGTGCACCAACATTTAAATTGGCAGCCTGAGTAAAGCAGGTTGCCTCCCACAATGCAGATGAATCTTAACTAATCAGTTGAAGATTTGAAATAGGGTAAATTACTGGCCTCCCTCACCAAAAAGGAATCCAACCAGCAGATGGCCTTTGGATTTAAATCACAGTTTTTGGCAGGGTGTGGTGGCACACGCCTGTAATCCCAGCACTCGGGAGGCTGAGGCAGGAGGATTGCTGAGTTCGAGGCCAGCCTGGGCTAAATAATGAGTTCCAGGTCAGTCTCAACTATATAGTGAGACCCTGTTTCAAAAAAATAAGCAAACAAAACAAACAAACAATTTTTGGACTTGCTGGTTTCCATAATGACATGAAGCAATCCCTCTCTCCCTCCCCCCGCCCTCCCTCTCTCTCCCTCTCTCTCTCTCTTTCTTTGACTTGCTGGTTTCCATAATGGCATGGCACCAGGGATCAAACCAGGTCCCTGCGTTTAAGAGGCAGGTGATGGAATGATGGAACCACTGAGCTAAATCCTCTGTCCCTAACCAATCTTTCTCTTTCTGTCTCTGCTTCTTTGTCTGTCTGTCTGTCTGTCTGTTTGTCTATGTATTCATTCCAAGGATTATGTTTATGGAATATATATGGTTTCCATAATGGCATGGCACCAGGGATCAAACCAGGTCCCTGCGTTTAAGAGGCAGGTGATGGAATGATGGAACCACTGAGCTAAATCCTCTGTCCCTAACCAATCTTTCTCTTTCTGTCTCTGCTTCTTTGTCTGTCTGTCTGTCTGTCTGTTTGTCTATGTATTCATTCCAAGGATTATGTTTATGGAATATATATAAGCTTTTGAGTTGCATGTTGTTAAAACCTTAGATTGCCTTAAACAAACTATCAATAGGAATTTAGATATTATAGGTAATTCTGGGAAGGTCTCAGACAAAAATAAGGAGCAAGTTATTGGAAAATGGAAGAAATTCTTGTTATAAAATGGCAAACAGGCCTGGTGTGGTGACGCACGCCTGTAATCCCAGCACTCGGGAGGCTGAGGCAAGAGGATCGCTGTGAGTTTGAGACAAGCCTGGGCTACACGGTGAGTTCCAGGTCAGTCTCAACTACATAGTGAGACCCTGTCTCAAAAAACCTAAAAAAAACAAAACAACGATGGCAAACAACCTAGCTAAATTATGTTGTAGTGTTTTATAGAAAGTAAGGCTTGTGCGTGATAAACTTGGGTATTTAGAAGAGATTTTAAGCAAAGTTTTGAGAGTGTGGCCTCGCTTTTTCTTGCTGATGAGAGAGAGAAAGAGAGATGAATTATAGAAGGAATTGTTAAGGAACCAGAATCAGAAAAAAAAAAATGACAGGCATTTGTCTGCTTGCTTATATATTACATCATCAACTACTCTGTAATTTTACTTGTTATATTATTTGCCAGTTTTATTATATAGGTTATGGACTTCCTGTGAATGTAGAAAGAATGAAATCTAGCTCTGTCACCAGCTGCACAAATGTTATCTAAACATTAAGCAGTTGTAGAACATAGGGCTGCTAATCTCAATCTATTCTGTGATATCGAGTGCAGAATGTACAATTAACTAGTTACCTCCTCCTACTTTTGATACTATTTGTATCTCTATACATTTATAAAAGTATTAGTGGTGTCTGTATCCCTTTTAAATTTGAAATGGAGTAATTGTACATATTGGTTATATTTTTTGTTGCAGATGGTACAAAGGGACTGTGTTTATGCTTCTACATCCAGTTTGTACAAGCTGGAAAATAAATATATGATTTAAAAGTAAGGACTACTATCAGATTTCTAGAGTTCTGCAAGATAGAACAAAAGAGTTAATATGGTTAGAAATATTCTTTAAGAGAAGGGAAAGAAGACCCTGAAGATGGCTCAGTAGTCCACAGCACATGTACAGGGGAAAGACCATGGGAGGACACACGGAGTAGACAGTTGAAGGCCAGGAAAGGAGACCTGAGAAAAAACCAAACCCACAGACACCTTGATCTTGTACTCTCAGCCTCCAGAACTGTGAAAAAATTAATTCTTGTTGTTTAAACTGCCCAGTCTATGATGTTTCATCATGACAGCCTGAGTACAAAAATACAGCACCTATATCTGATGAGGGAAACTTGTCTTCCATGCCACAAACAGTGTGGAGAGGACAGATGTTTACCAAAGCGGTGCTAAAAGTTAGCATGTGCGCAGGAGGACTGGAATTCCTGCCAACTTGGAGTGGGATTTTGCTAAGCACATTGTCAGTGGACAGCCGGAGGCCAAGAAGAAGACACAGAGAGGGTATTTAATTCAGAGTTAGCAACCCTATTTTATCAACAGGCTAGGATTTATTTTTAGCACTCATTGCTTAAGTGAAGTAATAAATTTGGAGCCAGATCTTAGAATTTTTATTCGCAAGTGTTTCAGGTGAAGCCAATGCTACTCGCGGACAAGCAACCAAGAATCATGTTTAAGAATGAGTGGTTCTGACCAATCTCACATCCAGGAGTTTTTTTTTTTTTTTTTTTTTTTTTTTTTTTTTTTGGTACCAGGGATCGAACTCTCGCCCTTGTACTTGCGAGTCGGCAGTGGAACCACTGAGCTACATCCCCAGCCCTCAGGATTTTGTAATATCCAGAAATGCTGAACGTTGGTGACTTCTAGGAATGAATTGTAAGTTAATTCTCTGCTTCAGGAGGTAGACAAGATTAAAACATGCAGAAACCCTTCTTGGTCCCCGGAGTGAACGTTAATAACGATGATGCTAACAGCCGTCATCATAATCAGCCAATAGGTGAGCTTGCAAGACTCATAGCTTGGAAATTCTCAAGGGATACAGACACGAGTCACAATTATATTGTGTAAAATAATAATGTAAAATGGCCTATGAGTTAGCGATCTCAAGCATTCAAAAGTAGATGGGAACAATTTGTGTCATGTTTACCCTATTGAAACAGGAGTCCATCCATGTTTAGGTGACACTCGATAGCCACTTAGCTAATGGTGAGATGCAAGTTAAACCTTTAAGAAGAGGAAATTAAACTGTCTCCTGGGATTGATTATATCCATGTTGTTAGCTCTGTGATTTTTTTGTGGTGTTGACTGAACAAAGGCAACGCAGGGCGGAAGTCACCAGGACTCTTCATGAATATTCTAAATTCCTGCCATTTCTAGAACAGGCTGAGCAGAGCTTGAGGCACTGAAAAGGCCACAGCGAGACCTAGTTGTTTGCAGGATGTGGTAAGGCCTTGGTAAGTAAGAACTGTTTTTCTGGAAAGAGGAGCAGGAAATCGCTAGCAACAGAAAATGCCCCCAGGACTTTTACACAGATGACCTTGAACTCAAATCCTGGTCTGATATTATGGGGGGTAACCTCAATGTGTGAGCAGATACCATGAACTTTCAGACATGTAGATAAGTAAGAGAGGCTTTGGGATTATTTTTTGTATCACCTGTTTTGTGATTTTCCTGACAAGTGCTCATATTTTATTTATTTGTTTGTTTGTTTTGTTTTGATGAGACAGGGTCCCACTATATAGCTGAGACTGACCTGGAACTCACTATGTAGCCCAGGCTGGTCTCAAACTCATAGCGATCCTCCTGCCTCAGCCTCCCGAGTGCTGGGATTGCAGGCATGAGCAATCACGTCCGGATTTGTTTTGAATTTTTCTAGAGCCTCATTTATCTGTTTTTTTACTTTGACTGTCAGACTTTTCCACCTCATTTCCCCTAGAGTTTACCTTTGGTGAGGTGGAAGTCTGTCTTTCGGTCTTGTTTAAATGTCTTCTCGTTTTTATTTTTATTGTTGGTACTGTCCTTGGTTTAATTCCTGGGTTAAATACTTTAATCTTCCAGGTATAGCTGGTCTTTAGGTTTTGAGTCTCTAATGACACTGAGGCAATCTCATTTTCATTATACCAGGGAGGACAACTGATTAGATCAATCAAAGCACCTTAGCCCAAGTGATACAATCAGCAACACAATAGCATCAAGCACAGTTTAGAAAGTGACAATTTGTGGCAGTTATTAATCTGTCACCTTTAACTGTGTGAATTAAATCAAACTCAAGGACCAGCCCAAAATATGTTTATAAACTCTTCAATGTAGCAACTTTACCCTTCAGGATGGGGATTTAGAAGGAGTTGGGGAGGGAGGGATAGATAGGATAGAGAAAAGTTAGAAGTGAGGTCAAAGGACACAGGAAGATCACACAAATTCTAGGGGGCTGTTGAAAAGAGGAGAAGACAGAACAAAATACACACAAGAACAGAACAAATTAACAGCAATAGGGAGGTTAGATACTGTAATCACTTTCTTTAAAAACTAATGGCAATTGACAGAAGGAAAAGAAAGAAAATAAATTCAAATTAGGATAGGAACAGGAACAAAACAGGAGCGTAATGGCGATGAAGGTGGGAGAGAAAGAAAAGAATATAAGAAAAGGATTTCTTTTGGTACTGGGGATTGAACTCGGGTCCCTCCGCTTGCAAGGCAGGACACCGAACCGCTGAGCTAAATGCCCAACCCAAGAAAAGGATTTTTAAAAAGGAAAAGTATTTTGAGAAAAGAAAAAGATAAAAAGTTTAAATGATTAAAGATAATAGAAAAATATTACTTTGAAAATAAAAAAAAGTTCAAATACAAAGAGAGGGCCTCCTTCAGGGTGTGCCTCTGTTGACACCATAGACAGCACAGGCAGGAGTGTGCAGGTCCAAGCTAATTAGTCTCAGCAGGCCAGCAGCTGTCCCCTGAGGTTCAGGCTGATTTCTGTCTGTAAGACCCAAGTTGAGATCTCCGACCTCCTGCTGGGTTGAACTCTGCAAGGTTCTACTGCAGGTTCCAGCTGTCTTTCCCCTGAAGTTAGACCAGGTTCTGATGTGAGGTGCTGGTCCCTCTGACTTACCATGGTGGTGTGCTGTGCCTTTATCACAGATTTTCTTCACTTTTATAGTGGGCTTCCATTTTCATCTAGGAGCCTCAGAGAAGTCCTCTTTCTCTTGTTCATAGGGTCGGGAGGGCACAAACACTGCACTCATAGCGCTGGGCTGAAGAGGTGGGCCTACCAGAGGGTCGCAAGCTGCTCCACAGGGAAAATTTGTAACAGTGGTTTATTTTAGGTGTTGATGTGACAAATGATTTTTAATTTCTTCTTAATTCTTTTCTGTATTTCTAGAATAAACATATTTCATATTCAGAAAAATACTATTTTAAAATTAGCTATTAGACTATGAACTCTCCCAACACATATTTGTTTCATTTTTGTTTTTTGAGGTGGTAGGGATCAAACTCAGGACCTCACATGTGCTAGACAAGTGCTATACCACTGAGTGCTACACAAGTGCTGCACACCTCAAGCCATGCACCCAACTTTTTACTATTTGTATCTTTCATGCCCAGGAGAGGACCTGGAGTACAGAAGGTGCAATATAAGAGCACCCTAAATTAATGAAGTGTCACTGACTTCTGTTATGACTCACTTGTCACTGGTGCAGAAGGCACCAGTAGGAGGATGGCCCTTGGCAGGCTAGTCATAGAGCTCACAGGGGAATCAGACCTCTGGGCTCTGTCCAGGTTCTTGGTCTACACAACATGTAATGTTTGCCCTGAGTCAAGGATCTGGGTCCAATTACATTCCAGGCCAATTAGCTAATGAGCAGAAGAAAGAAACATTAAGAGAGAAATTCAACCTGGGCTTTGAAAATGCACCCATAACATGGATCATTTTGTAATGATTCCTTATTGTATGTTGTGCCTGTAGAGTGGTTTTTTGTTGTTGTTGGGATTTACAGGAGGAAACCTTTCATGTCTGATGGAGTCTAGGGAAAGAGGCACCTGGATGAGGTCTCTTTGTACTCCACGGACCTTATTACCCATCTTTCTCACTGAACAGGTGCTGGTCCTCTCTAAAGTGGCATACGCATTTTTATCTTTAAAACAGTAAATCTGACACTAGCTTTAAGGAGAAATGGGAGAGTCTCAGGTTCTCTCATTTATGCCAACATGAGTAGTTGGCATGGGACTACTCCCTGCCCAGAGGATTATTGGAACTAGTTTCTCTTAGGGTACTTCCTAGTTTGTATCCCATAGGAGAAAGAACCATAACACACCCAAATGATGCTGAAAAATGGTGATCACAGCCAGGACTTAAGCAACTCAGACCCTGAAAGACCATTAGTGTCACCTACCTGCCTCTGCACAGCTCTGTCTGAGGTAACTGAAGTCTAGGCTGGGTCCCACTGATGGTAGGGTTACTCTGCAGATAAACAGAACAGGAAGAGGATGTGAGTCCCACCTCCCCCTGCTTCTCAGGGTCACACAAACACAAACAATATTATTTTCAAATAGAAATTCTGGAAGAATGTAGCAAACAAAAATAAATGCATATACAGTGTGTTTGCAGCCCTTTGGAGAGCCTTTTATTTGATTTCAAGACAGAGACCATGAAGGTAGATTGACTATTTTGGGCAGCACCCTGGGCCCATTACAAGTGTAATAAGTGCAGAGAAAGAGTTCATTGACATCTGGTGAAGAATTTTGTACCTAATTATAGCCCTTACCATTCATTTCACAGTTTATTCTCTTAAATTGAAGAGAAACTATTCAGATTTTCCTAAAACACTACAATCTTAGGAAAACAGGTATAGATAAAATCTTTTTTAACATTTTAAAGTTTTATATTATTGCATGAATACAGATTTGTTTGCTTGTTTTATGAACTGTGGTATTCAGAAGTTTCTTATAGCAAGAAAATATATCCTACGGAGAGATAAAAATCTTGTGGTGAAGGAAATAATTCATAATATTTGATAATGAGAAGAATCAGACTGCCTTATTGTCTTATCCTTAAGTATTAGTGATTCTTTCTCTACTGTTTAGAGAATTCTCATTGCTTTGCATTATAATTGATAATCATTTCTTCCAATATTTCAAATCTATGAATTAGTCCTGAAACACCCCAATGTTTCTCACTACCTCAAGCATATTGTCACCATTATTTGGCCTGACAGATGGTGGCTCTGTGCCATATCAGGAATTTTGCAGCATTTCCTTTAATTTGGCCCTTAGTACCATGGGCAATACCATGGTAGGTGGTGCTAGTGAGATCTCGCTCTTTCTTACACACACACACTCATGCACATCAGCATATATATAAAACTGACCTTCGGATGGCCCCAGGTGGGGGAGCCCTTTTGGGTACCTCATCTATGACTGTGCCTTTTGTTGATGGATGATTGAATGAAACATGAATAGAAGCCATTGAAAATATATCAACTACATAAGGAGATATCTAATGAGTTTGCTCACAATGTATGCCTGATACCTAGTAACAACTGAGTACCATTATGCAAATGTAGGTTATCAAAATAAATAAGTTTTTCATTCTGTCTTCACTGTTGTATCTTTGACTCATTTACTTTTTCCTACAATCAACTTCTTTTGACTGCTACAAAATACTCATCATGATGCTGTGAATCAGCTACTTCCCTCCCTTCAAAGAGCAAAAATGTGTAATGGAGAAGATACTATATACAACAGTTATGATCCTGAGCATGTGGTCAGTGCAAGGAGGGCGTGTATAGGGTACCTGGATCCAGAGGTGCAGGCTAGAGAGGATGCAGCTCTGAAAGATGAGTTAGAATTCTTCCTGACAGACAGGGAACGTCTGCAAATTCCAAGCGGAGGAAAGTGTGGGAAGGGCACGTGCCAACTGCATCAGGACGGCGTCCACAAGCAGTGTCAGAGAAGCAAACAGGGAGCAGGTGCCACATCATGTCTGTGTTATGTGACAAGATTTTATCCTGCTGCTGACGGGAGTGACCCAGGGGCCACAGGCAGGGAGTGTGAGGTGACCATATCTGTTCTGAGTAGATTTTGAGTGCAGGAGAGTGAGAAGGGAAGCAGAAACCCGACCCAGAGAAGGTTATATTAGTCAGCAGTAGTGAGTGTCTTAGTCATCATCCCATGGGAATGTAACTCAAGGTACAGTTGTCACCTTAAAGGATCTGTTAAGCATTTACACAAAGACACAAGTGTAAATTAAAACTACTAATATATTTTATTTAGTCTGCCACAACTACATTGTTACTATGTAACCAATGTAAAAATGATGAATGAGATACTCCGCATTCTTTACAGTAATATCCCAACAGAGATGTGTTTCTGTATTCCCTGCTCACTACATGCTCGCCACATGAGGGCCAAGTGCTCAGCACCCCCCACCTCCCAGTCCCGGCGTCAGACAGGACCACTCCAGCTTAGCATGAAGGTGATGGCAAAGAAGGAAGAGCTCCGTCTTCACCCACATAAGAAGACTGCAGTTGGTAAGGCTGGGTGTGGGATGACGGAGAGGCAGGAAGGGACATAAGGGAATGTGGACAGTGGGATAGCACAAGTGGGTCATGCAGATGGAATCAGTATTGTTTACCTCCGCAATTTCCACTGCGAACCAAATCCCTTTCTGTGAACCATCCAAGCTTGTATTGCATATTGGATTCTCCTGAGCAGCTTTAGAAAATTGTGCCTGGACCCCACCTGCTAAAATCTACCCTGCTGTGCTGGGGTGCAGCCTGGGAATCAGGACTTGGACGCACAGCTGGGACTGAGACTGTTGGGGCTGCGGTACCCATCACTGGAGCAGTCTTGGAGACTGTCTGATCTCCCCGACCTGAGCCTCCGTTTGGGAGGCCCTCCATGCTGTGTCTGCCATTTTCTCATTAAATTCATGATGTTTTCTCTTGTATTTATATTTACACATATAGATTTTTTACACATATTTTGTTTTCTCTTCAAAAATCTACCACAATAAATATTAGATGTGTCTTCTGTATCATTTTAAACAGGTATTGGATATATAGGTATTGTATAATAGGCATGATATATATCATCTTTAAAATATAGACATTAACAGGTATCAGATATGGAAAAAAAACCCACAAAATTCTTCACTCTGTGCCGCAAACATAACCTTGTCGGGGGATGTTTCACTTTTCACTTTGTTTTGGTTGTTGCTGTTGTCATACTGGGCGTTGAAGCCAGGGCTTGAATACTGATCTACATCCCAGCCAAGCTGCTAAGTTTCTCCAGGCCAGAGCCAAACTTCTAGTTCAGCCTCCCAGAATGTTGAGATTACAGGCATGAACTATCGGGCCTGGCCATCTTTTTTCCTGGTAATAGGGACTGAACCCAGGGCCTCCTTTTTTTTTTTTTTTTTTTTTTTTTTTTTTTTTTTTTTTTTTTTGGTACTGGGGATCAAACTCGGGTTCCTGTGCTTTCCAGGCAGGTAGCAGAACCACAGAACTAAATACCCAGCCCCCCAGGGTCTCCTTTACACTGAGCTATATCCCTGGCCCTTTTATATCATTCCTTTTGAGACAAGATATTGCTAAAATGTCCAGGCCTGACTTGAACTTACAATCCTCCTGCCTCAGGCTTTCTCAGGGTTGGTATTGAAGGCATGCAGCAACACATCCTCACTGGGGGACACTTCCAATAGTACAGAAAGAAAAATGTCCATAATGAACTCAGTGTTAGAAACTTAATGAGAACTGAGTTGACTTAGCTGGGCTGGGAGCCCTCTCGATTTTCAGTAACTGTTTGCCTGGCTCTGTTACTAACTCAAAAAGCAGGAAAGGTTAGGGGTGCTGTGGCAGAGGCAGGAATTTCCCTTTTCTACCTGGATTCTACCTGCTTCCTCATCACAAAAGGCTTTCAGGATTCATAAGTGTGGCTGTGTGCTTTCTGTCCACATCCTGGGAGTAGCTCTGCCAAGACACATGCACTAGCTTCCCCCTTTTCAGGGACCAGATGCTCCTCCACCACAGTAGGTGTGTTCTTACAGCCGTGCTGTTGGTAATAAGCACCTCTCAGAGAACAGAACAAGGGAGCAGAACAGCATTCCAGGAACACGTGTGGGGCCATGATGTGCTACAGGTGTCCAGAGCTGCTTCAGGACCAAGTAGCAGCCTGGCAGTGTGCCCTCCTCCCACTGCAGGAGTGGCAGGGACAGTGCAGAAGGGCTGGACTTGGGAACCTTGAACCTGTCTGATTGTCTCAGACTGCTCAGACACTCCCTCTCCCTTTTGCTCTAGTAGCTCTGAGGAAACTGATGGTTCTGGAGTTTGATTTTCTTAGCAGTGAGCTGTAAACCACAGAAATACATGACAAATGCAAGGCGAGATATTTGAAGTATTTCTTAGGTGACAGATCCTTTAATAACTGGGTTCTCTAGGTACAGATCAAGGGTGAACATTCTCAAGAGTAGCCTACCTTTCTTTGCCAGGAGGTACACAAGCATTTCCCAGATGGTACGTTCTGGAGAAGGCAGTCCGATGATATTTGGAAACTGTCAGTTATAGATTTAGGTGACAGGCAGAGGTTATAGTAAGAGTGGGAAGGAAAGACCCCCAAATAGAATATGAAAGTATTGGTAACCAGTTAGGCAACTGGTTAGGTCAGGAGAAATCTGGCCATTCTTTCTGAATCCTGAAGAAGGGTCCTCCAGCGTTCATTCACATTATTGCAATTAGATTGGAAAGCAGTGCTGCCTACAATTGAAAATACACAGGCAGATTCCTATGGTGATAATCTTAGTGTTCCAGCATTGTCCCAGCCTGTTGTTGCTTAATCTATCAGAGTCCAAGAAAATTTTAAAATATAAGAAGGGGTAGATGGAATTCCACAGTCACAAGAGCAGCAGATCTGAAGAGTCTCTGCTTGCTGTCACATTCATCAAGAAGGGCCTGTTGCTACTTGCCCCTACCTCCCTCAACAAATGAACTGTATTTATCGCTCAGATAGCACATGGCTTTGCAACAACAACTCTGTCCTTTTGTTTCAAATGCCAGTGAGAAAGTAAATATTCTTTTTTATTTTTCTGAGAAGAACACATGGCAGTCTGACCCACCTTGGGGTAAATCAAGGTGAGATGAGCTAGCAGCCAACCCAAGTACTTGGTGGAGAGGAATTCATAACTACTCAATTTCTAAGAACTTCCATATAAACCATTTTGGGTCCCAAGAGGATTCACAATGAAGAGGAAAATAAAAAAGTCCAGCCTCAGACAGTGGATTTTCCTTTTGTGTTTAACCTTTCCATTTTGTGCAGTCAACAAATCTAGGCCTGAAGATGTACATATACACAGTATAGGAACTATTTATATAATTAATATATATCTGTCTCTCCAGATTATGAGTCATTATCTTGCCCACTTTTCCTTGGAAAGATATTGGCTGATATTCTAAACTAATAAGTAGGTTGCTGTATTAGTTTTCTATTGCTATTATAACAAATTACAAACTTGGTTTAAAATAAAATAAGTTTAGTATCTTACCGCTCTTCGGTTGAAAAAAATTTGAAATAGGTCTCTCCAGGTCACGTGACAGACTATGTTCCTCCGGGATGGCAAAGGGAAGAACCTCTTTCCTTGCCTTCATCCGCGTCTGGAAGACACCTACATCCCTTGGCTCACGGTCCCTTCTTCTGTCTCTAAAGCCAGCAATGGCAGGCTGGGTCCTTCATCACATTGCATCACCCTGATACTAAACTTTCTGTGTCCTTCTTCCAGTGTACAAGGACCCTGTTGTATGTTGGCACACCCGGATAATGAAGAAGTCCTTTTGCTGGAGTGATCAGAAACTTCAATTCCATCTGCAGCTTCATTTCTCTCACCATGGTAAGGTTCTGAGCATCAGGACATGAATGTCTTTGGGGGACCATTATTCTGCCTACAACACTGACCAATATTCCAGGGAGACAGTGCATTTCTTAATTCAAAGTAAATAAGTATAACTTTATTTTTAAGTCCCTCCTTTGGTTTGACCCCCTTTTTATATCCAAATTCTGTTCAATCTTTTTTTTAAAGAGGTACAAGAAGGTTCCATTAGAAGGGCTAGGGATTTAGCTCAGTGATGGCCCTGCTGCCTACCCTGCAAATGCAAGGTCCTGAGTTTGATCCCTGGTACCAAAAAAAAAAAAAGAGAAGGCTCCATTACAGGCAGACATAAGACTCACTCCAGAGCAGAATGCGGGTGCACAGAGAAAGGAGACACCACAGTTGGAAACGGGATCCTTCACGTGCTTTGGGTGGTGGGGTTTTATGGAATGCAATGATAGTCTTGTCCAGTGGGTAGGAGAGGATGGCTCAGTGAGACAACGGTGCATTCACATGGAAAATCCCAAAAGGGTGGTCTATTCGTGGGTGAGAGAGGACCACCTGCAAGGGAAAGGGAGTGTGAATGGGCAGACCCAGGAGTAGCTGAGGAAGCTGCCCAGATTTGCTCTTTTGGGAGAAGGGAAAAAAAAAAAAAAAAAAAAAAAAAAAAACACCAACAAAAAGCTGGGTGTTTCTTGAAAGCTGCAGTTTTCTCCAAAGTACAATTTTTAAAGTCTTCATTTCGTCATCTCCTCTCCACCCAGCTCTGTCTCCTGCAGCCTACCTCCCTCATCCCCCCACGGAGACTTTAGTTCCTTATTCTTTTTTATTTTTTTGAGAAGGTATTTTGAGGTGTGCAGTTCAGATGGCCTTGAACTCTATGTAGCACAGGCTACAGTCCTCCTGCCTCAGTCTCCCTAGTGCTAAGATTACAGGCATGAGCCACCACACCTGATTTCAGTCCCTTATTCTTTTTTTTTTGTGGTACCGGGGATCGAACTCAGGACCTCACGCTTGCAAGGCAGGCACTGGAACCACTGGGCTAAATCCCCGGCCCTCAGTCCCTTATTCTTAAGGTGGTTTTTTTTTTGTTTGTTTTTGTTTGGTACCAGGGATCGAACTTGGGCCCTTGCACTTGTAAGGCAGGCAGCAGAACCACTGAGCCAAATCCCTGGTCCCTCAGTCCCTTATTCTTAAAGGGGTACAGGAGGCCAATAGTCTCTTTACTAACTAGTTCAGGCTGAGGAGGGGCATTAATTCTGTCTAGCCAGGGACCAAAAGTCTCCTCCTGACTGATCTAAAGGACACATAGGAATATCGGGTTCCGTCTTTTGAAAAGCCATTATCTTTCAATAGTCAAAACAAAGCTGAGATCTCTGTAGTCTCCATATCTCTTTTTAGGTCCCTTTGTGGTCACCAAGATAAATGTCACTGGGCTGGGTCTGAGGGTCCAGGAGGCTGAAACAAGGCACTCATCCTACCCTTCCAAAACAAGTCTGCAGGTGTGCTGAGTCCTGAAGCAGAAAAAGAACACTCAGTAAAAGAGACATGAGAAGGATTCCCCAGAGGTAGAGACATAGGATGCATTCAAAACTGGAGTAATGGCGCTCCAAGAAATGAGGCACCTGTAGTCAATCTTTTGCCATACTGTTTTGTTAAGAATTGTTTGCCGGGCATGGTGGCACACACCTGTAATCCCAGCACGCGGGAGGCTGAGGCAGGAGGATCTCTGTGAGTTCGAGACCAGCCTGGGCTACATAGTGAGTTCCAGGTGAGTCTCAAATACATAGTGCAACCTTGTCTCAAAAAAACAAACAAACAAAAAAGAATTGTTGGGTCTGGGATTTAGCACAGTGGTGCCATGACTGCCTGGCAAGCAGAAGATCCTGAGTTTGATCCCCAGTACCAAAAAAGAAAGAATTGTGCCACTTTCTACAAATATATAGCTTCCTATACAAAGAGACTTTTGTTTATTAGCTCCTTAGCAGCAGTCTGGCTGAATGACACAACAACACATAATTCATCTTAGCATGGTGCCACAGCAAGCAGAAGGGAGCCCGTGACTGCAGGGGTGGAGTACGAGTGATGACAGGTGAGGTCTGGAGGGCTTCTGTCTGCCTACCTCTGCTTGTACCTGAGTGGTGGTACTTTTTTCTGTTTTGTTTTGTTTTGTTTTTTTCAGACAGGGTCTCACTATGTAGGTGAGACTGACCTGGAACTCACTATGTAGCCCAGGCTGGTCTCGAACTCACAGCGACCCTCCTGCCTCAGCCTCCCGAGTGCTGGGATTACAGGCGTGCACCACCACACCCAGCCCGAGTGGTACTTCGGAAGGCATTCCCAGGTTGGTAGCTGACACTGAGCCTGAGTGGGTTAAAACTAAATGCTTAATGGTGATACTAATGGTATCATGGCTCCTGTTGGGTATAGTGGCCTGGGACTGGTGTTTTCAATTTAGATCCAATCTAGAAGTTCCTACTATTAGAATAAGTGGACTATATAACATGTTGCTACAGCATAGCAGAATGCAGGGCAGGGAACTTTGAAGTGGTTAGATTATAGAAAAATATCTGGAAATACACAACTGAAAGTGATTTTCATCCCTTTAATGAGGAGTTAATGGCAGGTATTTTGCAACACTGACTGGAAGGAAGAAAGCTGCTTTAGGACTTCCATTAATGGTGGTGGTGCTGTGAGGATTACAATAATTAAACTACATGAAGCAAGTGCATGTTTTCTAAACTGTTCCTTAAGTATCAGCTCTTCATTAGGTTCAATTCCGATTTTTCAATTTTTTCTCACATTGTGATTTTTCCAGCCCTTTTTCAAATGTCATCTATATTTTGCCAAAGCAGAAGCTTTTACCAGGACTCTTACTACTGTGATATGGGGAAGAATCTCCGTGCATGTATTCAGAGAGCACTTGAAACCAGCTACTGTTAAGTAAGAAACACAGTCTAAATTTCAGGAAACTGATGCCCACAGAGATTAAATCACTTAGTCCCACCCACACAGCAGCCAAGTCGCCACAAAACTGTGTGTGAAATGATTGTACACAGTCATTGTCCAAACTGGCCACATACAGCTTAGAAGCTTATAATCTAAAAAGATGAAAGCATTTGGTTTATTAATTTTGGTGAGATGTCAAATCAGAAGAACAACATCCATAAACTTCATGAGATAACAAAAATATATCTGAGTAGGTTGGTACAAGAGGTAGGACACAGCCTGTAGCTTTGGTTATATTCTGCAAGGGGCCAGTAATTCAAAAGAAGTGAACACTTACTTTTTTAAAAGCAAGAAGAGCCAGGCACAGAGGTGTACATCTGTAGTCCCAGATATTCAGGAGGCTGAGGCAAAGGATCCATTGAGCCCAGATGTTCGAGGCTAGTTTAAGCAATAGACCAAGACCTTGTTTTTTAAAAAAAGAGGGTGGGGTGAGATTAAAAGTTAAAGAAAGGCCAGGAGGTCAAACTAGTCACAACATCAGTTCGTAGACTGAGGAAAAGGTTATTTAGAGACTTCCAAGCAACCGCGAAGCATTCTATTTCTACATAAGACTAGTATAAAATACACATTTACTAAGAGCTAGTTAGGCTGATGATTCTGCAGCTAGATCTCATCCTGATAAATATATAAGAGGCAGAGAAAAGTAGCTGGGGGGAAAAAAAAGTGATGCAGTTTCTGGTTGTCCTTGGTTCTTCTCTCCAAGATCATTAGTGTCGTCCCTAAGCCTTGGCATTATATGGTATTAGAGAGAACATTTGATTGTCCTTTCTGAAGTTTTGTTTTGAGGGCTCACCGCTGTGTCACACTGAGTCTTCTTTCTTTTTTTGCTTTGGTACCGGGGATTGAACTCAGGTCCTCGAGCTTGTGAGGCAGGCAGCGGAACCACTGAGCTAAATCCCCAGTCCCTACACTGAGTTCTCTATAGAGACATGCCAAATGAGCTACCGAGAGCTGCTCTGTTAGGTTGCTGTTACAGCGTTGGATTTCTTCATTGAGCTGGCAGTTGTCACCACCAGTACTTTGTCATGGCGAGGAGATTGTACAGCAATAGAAGAGCCCCATGGGAGAGTAAACAACTTACTGGTCATGGATTTACTCATCATGTTCCAAGGGCCTCCTCTCTTACAGATGGCATGGGGGGGTGGTGTCCAGGCTGCTAGGAGCTCATGGTCTGGCTATGAGGTTCAATATGCTAAGTGCAGGCTTTCATAGATACAGGCTGAGTGGCTCTAGAGTACAGGGTAGTGACCATGCACACTAAGTAAATACGTAGCAGACTTCATGGACCCAGGACAAAGGTTGGGATGGGGCATTTATCAGACAGTAAGGGGACTGCATAGTACTTCTCTGCTGCAGACAAGGCACGACTGCTACATCAAAGAACCTATCTTACTGAGACAATCACTAAAAACTTCACTGAAAAATCTAAACACAACCTGTTCTGATTGATTTTTAACATATCTCTCCATGTTCTGGCCACAAGTAATTGCTTTTAATTAGCTACATTTAAAAAAAATAGTATTATTATTTTTGTACTGTAGTTAAGAGCTTCCAGAAGTTACATAGACTAGATTTTTAACAGTTTAGCATTCATAACTACCATTTATCACTATTTCAAGGAAGCAGCCATACTGTAGAATTAAAAAAAAAATCTTCCAGGATTTGTGCCCTATTATTCATATTGAGGTGTCATAAAATATTTCCCATCTCCCTAAATCTGATCTGTTTCCTCAAGTTAGATAGAGTTCAGCTTCAGGAAGGGTAGATATTTCTCCAAAACAGTCTTTTGGTTATTGGCATAAACCCAGGCTTCTGATGGCCATTTGTGTTTGAACTCCTTCAAAACTACAAAGAATGAAACTAACACGATACAAACATCAAACAAACTCCCAACATATCAAAGATCTAACACTTGGGATTTAAAAACAAAAAAAGGTGGTCAAAAGTTAGACAATATGGGAAATGAATGTGGTTGCACATGGCTAATCAAACATAACACTTTTTCCATCAAAGTCTGGAAGAGCTGGTTTGAAAGGGCAAACACTAGAGTCATTCGCCAACAAAGCCACAAAGGTAAACAGGAGAGCTACGAGGTCATGGTTCCATGAAGAGTGACTCCGCATAACACTATCGCAGGTAGCACACTCCCACCCAAAGCACAGCTGCTCCAGGGAGAACCCACGAAGATTAGAAGTCAAAACAATTTTTTTGGTTTTATTTTTCTCTATATACATTTGCTTTCCCT